CCCCAAAACCCCAAAACCCCACAGAGAGATTGGATGAAGAATTTGAGAGGCGTCTGGACCTAATAATTAAAAATAATTGAAAATCCTCTATCTAGCAATCAGAGGTGAGATAACTGTATTAAAAGTTGATTTTGTCGGAGATCTGATATTTTAAATAGACTCTATTACGATAAGATTTCAAATAAATTAAAGAACTATTCACACAATGGTAAGTGCACGCAAAAATTCTTAGACCAAGAGCTCAGCCCAGGCTCGAGTCTCGTGAGGAACATCCTTTAATCTTCTTATTCTTAGGCAGGAAAAGGCGGAAAAGGTGGAAAAGGAGGAAAGTTTGGCAGCGGAAAATCAAAGAAGGCTCCTCAATCAAGATCAGCTAAGGCCGGTCTCCAAGTAAGAATTTGATCAGATCTGAGTGTCCTCGCCCGAGTGACACTCCTCATTACCATCAGTTTTTAATCGCTCTTTATTTTAGTTTCCAGTTGGAAGAATACACAGATTCTTGAAAAGCAGAGTCAGCGCTAACAGCAGAGTTGGTGCCACATCTGCAGTTTACACTGCTGCAATCTTAGAGTATCTTACTGCTGAGGTTCTTGAGCTCGCCGGTAACGCTAGCAAGGACTTGAAGGTGAAGAGAATTACTCCCAGACATCTTCAATTGGCTATCAGAGGAGACGAGGAACTCGATACTCTTATCAAGGCTACTATTGCTGGTGGTGGAGTCATCCCTCACATTCACAAGGCTCTCATCCTCAAGCAAACCAAGAAGACCAAGTGAGGCCCTTGTAATCTATGACTCACTATATACCTAACTTCTAAAGTTTTAATTCAACTAATAAATCATTCCATAACCTTTTGTTCCCTTATAATCACTAATAATATAATACTTTTATATTCTTACCTACTATTTCGAAAGAAACTGCAAATTTTCGCATGATTTTAGGGACTTTATTCTTAGTCTGGACCCACTTTCGCAGAGTTGCAATGAGATTTGGTAAATTTTAGCTATTTTTGCGAATGGCACCCTCAATGTATAGTATTTCGGTCCTCACTATCAAAATGTCTTAATATGCCATATATATTCGTGTAGCAAGGTTGCCTGACTGAGTGATTAACGAAATTTGTTCAAAGCTTCATTATCAAATTTTTAATTACATTAAGAGGCTTCTGAGATTAAGCTTTGAATTATTAAATATATATGTCAATTCATTAAAATAATTAATATGTATGATATAGCTTTAATAGTGACAAATAAATTATCAACTAATTTGCATTCTCTAATAGTGACCACTACTTCCTGAGTGAGATGGGTTGGCACTGTTATTGGATCTTTTTTGAGTATACAAAAATAGTGAATTGTGCTTGGCCACTGCAAAGGTGTTTTCCTTTGGATGCCAAGTACCAAGAGTAATCTTCTGGGACATATCAATTTTTACAGGATCTCCATTTTAGTTGGAGAGGACCCCCTATACTCTTTTGTTTTTATAGTTCCTTACTTAGCCTACATTCTTTCCTCTCTTGTCCATATATTTAACATCGATTGTACAGTTTTACTAATTTTAAACATCGATCACATGGACATTAGAGTTGTAGGAGCCAGTCAAAACTAGATTTGAATCAGGGGAAATTTGAAGGTCAAACTTATCAAAAATTGTTTCACTCTCATAAACCTCACATAGCTTTTTTTCTAGGTAATCTGTCACGTTGTATGTCTTGAAAGGCATCTTAGTGTTTCTTATATCCCATATCTAAACTCCGAGATAATCTCTAGAGAAAATATAGTTATCATTGACGGGTGAGAATTTAGCTCTTGATACAGAGTTAATGATGTCAGTAAAAAAGTGCTTTCTTGATGGATCTTCCTCAACCATAAAAAAGGTACTGCATTTATCAAACTGTGAATTCTATCTCATATCACATGCACAAATATATCCTTTGGAGGAGGAGAAGAGGAATATGTCTGACCTAACTGGATGATACTCTACATGTGTGATTACCTCTGCTAATTCTTCAATGTTAGGTGGCTTTAGATCTACTATGTTAAATGCGAGCAAGTTATTTTCCATACTCCATAAATTCACTCTCAAATCATCAGCTGATAGAAAGTTCTCCCCATCTGGGGACATGCTTAATGAGTTAATGTTATAGTTGTGGCAGTTCTTATATTATTTCTTCTCAATACCCTCATAACCTTCTCCTACAATTTAAGATTTAGGGATATTAAGGATGCCATTGTTGATTTGGCATCTCTAACTCTGCCTGTGAACTTTATATTCTATTTTCCAAAGCTTTATAATCCTGTCATTAGTTGTCAGCATCTAGAGATTGCTATTTTTATTGTTAGTAAATTCTATGGAGTTTATTTTCTCATCCAATTCAATCGCTTTCAAATGATCAAACTCTGGCTCATGAGATTGTATTTCAGTAAAATACCTATAATCGAAGTATCTTGAGTTTTTCAGTTCATTATATCTGAAGACGATAACTCTACCTCCTTTATCTCCTACAGCCAAAAATTCTCCTGTTTTGTCGAAAGATATTGCAGTAAGGACGTCCGATTCAGTAACATTCTATTGATCTCTTTCCCCTAAGCCATTGATATACACCCAACTTGGAGTTTCTTAATTACGATCTTGCATCGGTATAGACTAATCCATCTTGTAAAATAACTTTAGTGAATTTAATTATATATTTACTAAATCATATTTTCTTCTCTAATCACTTGCAACTAACTAACTTTATATTGATCTTAGCTCATGGGGTTTTGGGGTTTTGGGGTTTTGGGGAGATCGGAAG